AAATCCATTAAAGATGCCCTCACCTCTGTAGCATCTGGTAATTACACTTCCTAATGCATTTATTCTCACAATATGGACGTGAAATAAGGAAATGCAGTTATTATCGATGATGCAGGTGTGCATTAGAGACACACCAAAGTGACCTGAAGGTAAAAGACATAGCACATGCTGGGGCCCTCACTCCCCAAGTATCTGAGTCAAAAACCTGGTGGAGGAACACACCATGACTCTTGTTTGATCCACCCTTGGGGTTTCCTTTGTTTGGAAACCAGCAACAGGCGCCATGTGTGTGTCACAGGCCAGATCCAGGCATGGCCAAACCCAGGGCATCCCTCTGGACCTGCGAGCTCGGAGGTGTTCCAAGGCCCCAGATTAGCCAACGCTAGACAGAGACTAAAGAGCTCATGCCAAATCAAAAGGGATGTCTAGGTGTGATGTACGTACCAAACTTGTCACTTTCTTGTCTTGTGCTAGTAGGACATCAGCAGAACATCTTTTCTCTTAAAAGCACTATACTGCTTATTTTACAACTGCTTTGTGACTGATGTCCGCTCTGGCCCCTTCTCATCAGACTCACAGTCCCTGTTGGATTTAGCTGCCCTAACGGAAAAGGTAACCCATCTCTACAGCTAGAGGTAATAAATTCTTTAGCCACCACAGCAAAATACATTGATATGATCTTGAATTAAACCACTCATTTCTGCAGTTCTCGGTCCAGGATATCAGAGTAAATTGGTATCAGTTGAAATCAGATTTACATTAGTGCATCAGGCTACGAGCTGAAACAATTAGCAGTGGACACACTATTCATTAGTAGGCGACTCTCTTCTGAGAGGTACGGAGGTGCCCATTTGCCGACTGGACACACTCTCTAGAGAGGTGTGCTGCTTACCGGGGGCTCGCATCAGGGATGTCACCGAGAGGCTACCAAGCCTCATACAGTCCACTGACTATTATCTGCTGCTGCTGTTTCACGTGGGCACCAGTGACACAGCCAGGAGCAGCCT